CCAGGTCCAGGACTCAAACCGTGGTTGACTACATGGGAGTCCAGTGACATAGCCATTACGCTAACTGCTGGTCCCCATTTCCTGCCTCCTTTACTTCCTCACAAGCTCCATTAGGGTAGGGATTAGGTCTTCCCCCTTTGCGTAGGACTGTACTTCTCAGCATCTCATACGTGTTTTTTGGATGAATAGATTTTGGAACCCACAGCAAATTGTGCAGCTGAAACAGAGACTGTTCTTTCATGTTCCCCTAAATGCTAGAGAGTCATGCTAAAATGATTGGGACTTGTTTCACTCTCCTGCAAATTGTGAGTCTGTGTAACTCAAGATGTTTATAAACCCAGCCCAGGTTTACAGCACGTGCCTCCTGTGGGGTATTCCGTTGGGTTCTGGCAGCAGCTGCCTTCTAGGGTTGCCTGTTACGTACAGCCACGCGCAGGACCACCAGGCCATTGTCTATGGACTAGGTTAGTTCCACATGCCCTCGTGGGTTCTTAACACATGACGCATGTCTCACATAGGTGAAACACACCCCAGCTTTGAAAGTATCGTATGCTTTCCCTTGCCTTTGGTTATGGTTATCCCACGTATTTAAATAAGCTCGCAGTTATTACCCAGGCTGACTTATTTTTCCTTCGCAGACCTTCGTAAGTCCTCATTATGGACTGAATCTGGCGTCAGCGTATATAATCATGGTGCTCATGGGCGTCTGGGCGTTTTTTGTTGCTGGAGGCAGCTGCCGAAGCCTGAGGCTCTGCCTGCTCTGCCAGGACAAGGACTTCCTTCTTTTCAACCAGCGCTCCAGATAACCGCGAGGAACCAGCACCTCTCGAACAGCAGGCTACATCTTTAAAGCAAGCACACTGTGCCTTTTTCTAAAACTTCCTTTTTCTGGCGGAATTTGGAAAAAACGAAACTATCTAGATATGAGCCCTCCTCACAAGGCTGCCAGGCCGCAGCTCTCCAAAAGGGACACAGCAGCGGCATGTGGCCCTCTGCGTGCAGGAGCCTCCTGGGAGGCCCCGCAGCGCCCTGGGCTCTGCCCTGCAGATTCGATGAGCCTGGCATCAGGCAAGTCTGGAAAGCTTCCCCGGTGCTTCCGACTGCAGCCACACTGGGAAACGCGGGTGTTCAAATGGGGACTTCTGAGGACACCTGTCCCAGCCTGCACTGAGCAAGTAAATCCCTGAACGTGGAGTTCGGTCAGCCTTGGTGTTTTACACTCTGAAGTCACAAAAGGGGAAAGGGCTCTCACCTCTGTGAACCGTTTTCCTGTCCTTGGCACATGTCCCTCTGAGAGCATGCTAGGCTGTGCTTCTAAACGCAGTGATAGATACAGCGGCTTACTGTGATCACGGCCAGAGTGAGGTGCTGTTAGTCAGCTGTATTTTCCTGAAGTTTTTCCATCCTAGGTCTTGCTTTTTGAGGCATTACATAGTTTTTTTTGGTTTCTTTAAAACTTTTTTCTGACTTCCTTGGGAGAAACATGTTTTAAAGTGAAGCATTTTTGTGCAGTGTTGGTTTAAAGCTCTCCATGGCTCTGCCTCGAAGCCATCAGCTGCAGCAGTTGTGCCTGAGTCCTGGTTGCTGGACTGGTGGAGGCTCACCCCCTTGCTTTGTGTCTGAGCAGTTTTCGGGGAGTGGGACCATGTGCCCTAGGAAGGGCTTTGGTGGAGCTGGTGGCAGTGTAACTGAAAGCTCGAGGAAAACAGGCCAGGAGGGTGCTGTTGACACTTTTCATTTGATCCCTGTCATGTGAAACGGCACTTTCACCCAAGAGGTACAGTGCAAAACTGGATATATGTTGGGTTTTTGGTGGTCGTGGTGGTGGTTTTTTAGAGATTTTTTTGCTATAGGGCACATGCGCTCACGGGAGAGACAAGACAGAGAGATGGAAAGTGAGAAATAACCATGCTGCAATCCCTTCTCCATTCTCCTCTTGGGTTTTGGGCACACACTCGGTGTGAGTGTTAAGCCGGCAGGTCTGGCACTCGAACCACACTCGACTACATGGGAACCCAGCATCATAACCATTATGCTGTCTGCTGGTCCAAAATATATGTTTTAAACTATGAAATCTCTTGCTATTACGTAGTCCCTAATCTGGAGATGTAGTAAATATTTCTGGGTTTTGGTAGCAGAGACAGCATTCCTGTTACAGGAATACATAAGGTGTTTGTTCTGCTTCTGATTGTGCCTTTACTAAGTAGAGGTTGTTCCCAGGTAAGTCTCTGGGGAAGCCGATGGTGTGAAGGAGCAATTACCTCTACATTGAAGGGATTCCTCAGTGAGCCCATTGTGTACATTCGACATCCAAAAGCGCCATGAGCAGCAATGAAGGGGCCCCGCGGCCACGTGACAGAGGGATGAATGTGACAGGACTGTTGGGAGGAAGGACAATGACTGGCCAGTGTCTGGGGCTAGCCACACATCCCTGTGGGGACCAGAACCTTACACATGAACCGGACTTTCATCAGGGTCAATGAAGCACACCCTGCTGCTTAAAAATATTAGAATCTCTTGACCTAGAGATTCAAGAGGAGTTGGGCCTCTAGCAAGGTTGTGAAGAGTCTGATAAGCAATTCTTGTTCTGCTGAAGTTCACTTCTGCACTCATTATCAGTGTTTCTGCTGTAGTTTGAAACTTTCTAGCTTTCTATAAGATTTTCCTTGGATTAGAAGAGTCAAGGACAGAGTCTCAACAGTGAGATTTTCCCTGCAGAGTCAAGGGAATTTAAGCTACCATCAAACGGGGATATATTCTTACCAGAACATGGTGTTCTTTGCTGAATAGAATAAGAAGTAAACATATAGCTGGTTATTACTGTTGACTTGCACATCCTTTAAATGGATATTCTCATAAAATATTAACTGATTTTTAAAGTGTAGAAACTCTGAGAATATTATTACTCATTCTTGAGCTCTGAGGATGTTCTCAGTACACTGAAGCTTAATATTAAGTAAAGAAGCTGGGATATTATAAAATCTCATTTATGAAAATTCAGATGAGAAGAAAACTTTCTTTGATGATGAAATGGTTATCTTGTTTCAGGAAATTATTTAACAAGCCTAGGTTACCTATAAGTAAAGGAACTTTGTAACCCTGATTCCTCTTAGAAAGCGATTATTGCCGTAGCAAATATGAATTGAATCACATAGTGAACGTGATAATTGCCATAGGCAGGCATGGTTGTTTCAAGCAGCCTTGCTTTGCCTCATGCCTCGGGAGCCTAGAGGAAGGAGGGTGTAACCCTTCCCTGTTGGCTATATTTACATCAAAATACTCTTTTTCTTTTTTCTTTTGCACTTATTATCTCTAATGAGCTTTCTGAGTCCTGATAACACCCGGAAAGGAGGAGGTGGTGTTGATGTTATGTGCTGTCCTTCACAGGAGTTTCTCAGTTTGGAGGGAAGTGTAGACATACTTAAAGTTGACCTTGGACTTGTGAACTTTGCAGTGTTTGGATATGTTGCCATGTAAATAATAGGGATTGATCTCACTGCTTCCTCATATAAGCTGTACTATTTATTTTTCATCATTTTAATTAGTAATGGTAACTGGAGACGTTTTGTTACCTCTGTCCCGGCTGCTTGACTGGCAGTAGAGTATCGGCAGCCTTTTTAGAGTCTTAATGCAGATTCCTGAGAAGAATTAATGACGCTATCTGCAGACTGCCTAGGAAATGGCTTTTGTCCCTAGCATTAATGTCTTTATTCCCAAGCACACATTTCAGTGTTTGCTGAGAGTGACAGGCTCATCCCAGAAATGCTAGGCCTTCTCACCTGTAGGGTGGATGCACTTCTGGCAGGAGCTTCCTGGTATTACCTGGCACGTTTCCCATCCATGTCAACCCAGCCACCAAACAGGCAGTAGCCGTCCTGTGGGCCCCAGGGTGACACGGAGGCCACAATGGCAGCCTGTCATGGGTATCAGTAGCCTGACTTCTGGAGGGAGTCTCTTGTGGGTGTCGTGTCTTGGTAGCTAAGTTTTTTCTGGGCCGTACCATTTCTAACTTTAGGTGGATGAAGTAGACATCCCACAAAACAATGTTAAAGTGCTTTGCTTACAGCATTTTATTTATGATTGCAGTGTTTACATTTAATAAACTTTACTTCATTCTATTGAACTTTTGTATTTAGAAGAGGTAGATACTGTCTGTATGTAAAATATTTAACATTTTTTATGCTGTACTGATATGTCATCTGTAGCTGCAATGTCAGATTTGCATTCAGTATACAATGCGATAGGCTTTCCCAATCTGAGTGTTTCAGTGAACAATAAAGAGATGGTTTGGCACTTTTCATTCCCCACATTTCTTTGGAATAGTGTATCATTCAGTATCTGTCACTATAGTTTTGGTCTCTTTTAAAACTTGGCTGTACATTCTGTTGTTTATAACTGATCAGTTCTGAGCGTTTTTTTTTTTTTCCAAAGAGAAATTCTTTGTTATCTGATTTAAAATTCATAAGGCCTATTTCTTATCTTTGTTTAGAAACCATTTGATTCAGAGAAGTTTCTTAACTGTGTAGTTGGCCATGAGGGGTCCAGATTTAACCACTAGTCCACAGAGCCAACTCATTGCAGAGAAGTTTCTGGTGGTGTCTTCAAGCAGAGGTAAATCCTCTAAGATCTTGGAACTCCACTTTGAAAAACCTAAGTAATTATAAAATGGTGAATTTATAAAACATCACATAATAGTGGCTAAAGGGACCAGTAGTTAGCGTACTGGCTATGTCGCTGAACTCCCATGTGGTCGACCGCGGTTCGAGTCCTGGACCCGGTGGCTTAAACTCATGCCGGGCACGTGTGTGTGCGTGCCCAAGATCCCAAGAGGAGAAAGGAGGAGAAGGGATTGTGGCATGGCCATCCCCCCTGGGGGGTGATTTCTTGCTTTCTATCTCTCTGTCTCTGTCTTTCTGGTGAGTGCAATTGCCCTATAGCAAAAACCTCTCCAAAAAAAACCAAAACAAAACAGTGGCTAAAGATTGGAGTCAGGTGAAAGGAAGAAAACAATTTAGTTTATACCTGGTGACCTTGAGTGACCTATATGGTCCTTTTAGTTTTCCAACTCTTGGTGAGGAGTCAGTACAGCTAAGGGCTTGCGCTTGGCCTTTGTCATCAGATGAATACAGGGAGAATCATGACTGCAACTCAAAACCACATGGTGCCAGTTCGTCCTGGTTTGAAATGAAACTGCTCCAGTTTTGTGTTGATTGTAATCTTGGAATGTCCTCTAGGACAGAAGGCTCTTTGCTCTTGACTTGTAAGCTGATGGAAGAGGCAGGCATTCTTCACGTTATCAGGTATCAGCTCAGATTCACCTACAGTTTCATTGGCCCTTCCACACTGAAGTCATGGCTCTAATTTAACTGCAATTAGTTTGTCTTTAATTAAAATAGAGATTTCTCTGTGACCAGCCTCAACATATGAGAAACCTCCAGTGGAAAGAAGTGCATATTTTACTTTCCACTTTGTTGAAAATGGTGAATAGAGGGACCAGCAGTTAGCATAATGGCTATGTCGCTGAGCTCCCATGTAGTCAACCGCAGTTCAAGTCCTGGACCTGGTGGCTTAAACTCATGCCTGGTGCGTGTGCATGCGTGCCCAAGATCCCGAAAGGAGAATGGAGGAGAAGGGATTGTGGTGTTGGCCATCCCCCCTGGGGGGGGGTGATTTCTCACTTTCTGTCTCTCTGTCTCTCTCTGTCTGTCTAGCGAGTGTATGTGCCCTATAGCAAAAACCTCTCCAAAAAAAAAAATAAAAAAAGAAAGAAAGGAAAGGTGGAGTAAAATAGCTAACATCATACTGAAAGGGGAAAGCTGAAAACTTTCCCACTATAGACAAGGTTGTCCACTTTCTCTACTCCTTTTCAACTTAGTGCTAGAAGTCCTAGCCAACACAGACAGACAGGAAGATAAAATAAAAGACATTCAAATAGGAAAGGAAGAAAAAAAATCATCCCTATTTTCAGATGACATGATTATATACATAAAAAAAACTATGAAAAGCCTTCTTGAAGTGATAAATGAATTCAGTAAAGTTGCAGGATATAAAATCAATATACAAAAATATATAGCATTTTTATATCCCATCAATAAACAGACTGAGGCACAATTGAAGAAAGCAATCCCATTTACCGTAACTACATACACACAAATACCCAGAAATAAATCTAAACAAAGAGGTGAAAGACTGCTACAAGAAAAACTGACAAACTGGAAAAAGAAATTGAATATAATACAAAAAATCATAAAGACATCCCTTGTTCTTGGAAGAATCAATATTATTAAAATGTCAGTTCTACTCAATTTATAAATTCAGTACAATTTCAATCAAATTACCAGTGACATTCTTCACAGAAATAGAAACAATCACAAAATTTGGAATGATGAAAGAGCCTGTATCACCAAGGCACTATTGTGCAAAATGAATAAAGTAGAATGCATCTCACTACCTGACCTTATATATTACAAAGCTATGATCATTAAAACAGCATGGTACTGGCATAAAAACAGACATATAGGCCAGTGGGAAAGAATAGAGATTCCAGAAATAAACCCCAAACATACAGCCAACTGATTTTTGATAAAGAGCACAAGACAATTCAGTGGGAAAAGAAAGCTTCTTCCACAAATGGAGAACTGGATATCCAGCTGCAGAAAATGAAATTGAACTCACATCTCTCACTATTAACAAAGGTCAGCTAAACAATGAGTCAAAGATCTAAATGTAAAGCCTCAAACTATAAAAACTACTTGTGAATATCACAGGGGAAACACTGAAGACATAAAGTAGGAAAAATGTCTTAAGACCACAAAGTGCAGACGGCAATTCCAGAAATAGAAAAGTAGAATTCCATAAAGCTGAAAAGGAAACAATAAATAGGGTGAAGAAGACAACCCACAAAATGGGAGAAAATATTTGCAAACTATGCTTCAGATGAGGGATTGATAACCCACAAAAAATAAAATGAGTAAACCTTGGGGCCAGCAGGTGTCACAGTGGATAAGGCACTGGAGTCCAACATTGTCAACTGCGGTTTGAGTCCTGGACCTGGCAGTTTGAAACTCACACTGGTGTGTGTGCACACATGCTCAAAATCCCAAGAGGAGAATGAAGAAGGGATTGCAGCATGGTCATCCCCTGTGGGGGATGATTTCTCGTTTTCTGTCTGTCTCTCTCTCTCCAGCATATATACCTTATATCAAGAATCCCTAAAAAAATTAATAATCCAACTTAAAAATGGGCAAATGAACTGAATAGACAGCTGTCTAAGGCAGACATGCTAATGGCCAAAAGAACATATGAAAAAGTGTTCCACATCTCTTTTCATAGGGGAAATTCAAATTGAAACCATAATGAGATATCACTTAACCCCAGTCAGAGTGTCCGTGATTAAAAAATAACGAAACCAGGGACCAGCAGCTAGCGTAATGGCTATGTCACTGAACTCCCATGTAGTCAACCGCGGTTCAAGTCCCGGACCTGGTGGCTTAAACTCACACTGGGCGCATGTGTGTGCATGCCCAAGATCCCGAGAGGAGAATGGAGGAGAAGGGATTGTGGCGTGGCCATCCCCTCTGGGGGGTGATTCCTTGTTTTCTCTCTGTCTTTCTCTGTCTGTCTGGCGAGCACACGTTCCCTATAGCAAAAACCTCTCAACAAACAAACAAACAAAACCAACAACAACAAAAAAACAAAGAACAACAAGTGATAGCAAGGCTGTGGTGAAAAGGGAACCCTCCTGTATTGTTGGTGGGAATGTAAGTTAGTACAGCCACCATGAAAAGCAATATGGGGGCTCCTCAAAATTTGACCAATAGAACACAGGTAGAACTACCATAGGACTCTGTAATCCCACTTCTTGTTATTTACTCAAAGAACAGGGAAACTCTCAGTTGGAAAGACCCTTGCACAGGCGAGTTTATTCCAGCATTATACATAATTGCTAAGACATGGACTCAACCTAAATGTCCAAGAACTGATGACTGGATTGAAAAAATGTGGCATATATACACTGTGTACTACTATTCAGAATAACATTGAGATCCTGTCATTCATCAAAAGGGGATGAATATAGAATTTTTTTGTTTTAGAGAGATTTTTGCTATAGGGCACATGTGCTCAACAAAGAGATAGAGAGAGAGAAAGCAAGAAATCAACCCCCAGGGGAATGGCCATGCTGGAATCCCTTCTCCTCCATTCTCCTCTCAGGATTTTGGGCATGTACATACATACACCTGGCATGAATTTTAAGCTCCCAGGTCTGGAACTTGAACATAGTTGACTATGTGGGAGTCCAGCGACATAGCCATTATGCCATCTGCTGGTCCCAAATACAGAAGTTTTAATGCTAGGTGAAATAAGCCAGACAAACATATTTACCCACTCAATATATACCAAACACCTGTACTCTATGGCAGAAATGGAAAGATTTGAAGACTTAGTGATAAGGAAGGCAAGTGTAGATACCAGACTGTGTAGGAGTGGGTTGGATAGTGAGGGGTAGTGCTGTGTCCCATCTGTTTCTGTCTCTGTGTCTCATGGAAGAAATAAAATTTTTTTCAAGGTAAAACAAGTAATTTTGGGATTATGAGACTGACAAAGATGAAAAAGATTGATAATAGCAAGGTTTTTGAGAATGTGGTGGAAGTAGCATATTATGAAAACAAATTCATACAACTCTTTTGGATAGTAATTTAGCAAAATCTATTGTATCTATACAATCTTGCATATTTTGAATCAGCAATTCCTTTTCTAGGAATTTCAAGTATGTAAGGAATGTACAATAAGTGTCTATCAGTGTGGAATGCATCAAAGAGTAGTACACTTTACAGCTGCTAACATATGATAAGGAAGGCCAGCCAGTGGCATGGAGGTTAAGGAGGCCGGAACACACATGGCTAACTGTGCCTTTCTTTTCTTTTCTTTTTCTTTCTTTTTTTTTTTGAGAGTTTTTTGCTATAGGGCGCGTGTCCTTGCCATACAAGAGACAGAAAGACAGAAAGCGAGAAATCCCCCCCCAGGGGGGCTGGCCACACCACAATCCCTTCTCCATTCTCCTCTCGGGATCTTGGGCACGCACGCACATGTGCCTGGCGTGAGTCTAATCCACTGGGTCTGAGACTCGAACCGCGGTCAACTATGTGGGAGTCCAGCGACACAGCCATTTCGCCAGCTGCTGGTCCCTGTGCCTTTCAAGTCCCTGGCCCAGCATCTTGAAGAACACACTGGATATGTATGCATGCATGCCCCAAATCCAAGAAGAAAATGGAAAAGGGATTGCAGCATGACCATCCCC